ACCTCAACTAAGACTAGTACATATTGAACACTTTTACCAATTCAAAAATTGTTCCTATTAGGCATTTTTTGATAATTAGCAAAATATATGAAGAGTGTGTGATACACTTGCGGTGACGTGAAAAAATGACTAATTATAAAATAACATGTGGCACTAGGCCCCAAAAATTATAAAAAAAAATAATTTTTTTTAAAATTATTTCAAACACTTTTTATATCTATTTTTTAAAAAAAGAAAAAGAAAAAAAAATGAAAATGTCAACCTATTCTACCCAACCCCACCCCTACCCAACCCCTTTTCATCTTCATCTTCATCTTCTTCCCAAAACACATTCTTTCTCAAATCACAAAACCTAATTCTTTTCAAATAACTTGAAGATTAACTTTTAAATATATATATATATATACATTTTCATACTAAGAGTGAAGAAGAAAGAAAATTTTGCCAACGGTTATTCATTTCTACATCGATGACAAAATGAAATTGATAGATCAAAAATTAATTCTTTCAAATTTTTGAATGTCATTTTTGATAAAATTAATGGGTTTATATATGAATTTGAGTAAAAATCTTTGTTCAAAAATTGTGATAAACAAATATCGGCTAACTTTTTTTTACGTAAAAATCATTTATCTTCTTTCTTCTTCTTCATATTTGTTCCTTATTTTTATGAAATTTGAAATAAATCGTACGAAAGAAAGTCTTACTTTCTTTCAAATCTAAATCTTCATAGTTGATTTTCATTTATCTTCATATTTGGAAGAAATAATATTCTTTTTTTATAAAAAAGAAAGAAAAATAATGTTGGAGCTAAAATGAAGAAAGTTTTGCAAACTAAAGTATGAAGAAGATGATAGGTAAGGAGTGGGGTCCTTTTCTTTTTTGAAAAAAGTGTAAATGAAAGAAGAAAAATGTTTTTAAGTTAATTATAATGCCAAGTGTCAATAAAAGAAGAAAAAATGTAAAAAAAATAATTCAAAAAGACACTATTTTGAATCTTTTCACGCTTCAGGGAAGTGCAAAACACATTTTTTGCTATATCAATGTTTTGGTTTAATAGGTACATGTTTTGAACAATTTAGGTGTTCAATAGGTACAAGTTTTAGTTGAAGCGTCTAAGTGAATTATGCGAACAACTTTAAGGGGCGGTCGATGACTTAAGCCTTTATTTTTTGAAATATCAACGTTCATTATGGTAGATTAATAAGACTAAAGGCTACAGGCAAACTGAATACAAAATAAAATATTACAAAGTAAATTGTTAACTTCGAATTTGTAAAACTATAACAATATAATTGTAACTTCGGATCTTAATACAAAATAAAATATTTACAAATTTTACAAGCCCAAATTTGAAATAAAATATATAAACATTAACAACTATAAACTAACTAAAAATATATTAACAAAGTAGATTATAAATAATATTTTTTATTTATAAATAAAATAAACTTATATATATATATATATATATATATATATATATATATATATATATATATATATATATAATATTTACAAAATTTAACAAGCCCAAATTTGAAAGAACATATATACACATTGAAAAACTATAAACTAACTAAAAATATATTAACAAAGTAGATTATAAATTATAATTTTTATCTATAAATAAAATAAAATTATATATATATATATATATATATATATATATATATATATATATATATATATATATATATATATATATATATCGGTTTGGTTTGAGTTCGGTTTGACTTTTTTTCTTTTAATACCAAATCAAATCAAGAGTGATCGGTTTTTTTTTCAACCGCCAAACCAACTTAACCAAACCACAAATCGTTTTTTTTCGATTCGATTTGATTCGTCGGTTCGATTTGATTTTCCGATTTGGCTTGTACACCCCTAGATGTGGGTGCCCTTTTTCTCCTCCATTTCTTATTATTAGGGTTTTATATAAGATGTACCAAAGTGTAAAATAAAAAACTTGGGGATGAGAAATTCATCCCTTAATTCTTAATTTAAAAGTTGTCACCCCTGTTCAATAATAATTAAAAGGTGAGTCACCTATATCTAATTTTAAAACTTTTCTATCACCCTTAATTCATTGTTCCGATAAAACTTTTGTGTAAATAATAAAACTTGAGAGTTTTAAAATTAGTACTATTAATAACACTAATCTTAAAATTATCACCTCTAATCAATAATTAAAACTTGTATCACTTTTTCTTAGTTTTAACATTTTTTTTTGTCACCTTTAATAAAAAAATTCCAAGAAACCCAAGTTTAAAATTGAGGTGCACCAATTTCCAAGGCGACTAATGCCTAATGGCTCTTGAAATCTCCCTACCACTTATATGATTATTCTTGTTCCGTATTTAGCCCCTAAACTTGGTTATCAATGCGGACCAAACTTACTATAGCGTCTTTAGCCAGAAGCAGATACGTAACAACCCATTCTCACAATTGCCAACAACCCACTCTACCTCTTCAGTTTAACTCTCTAAGCAACTATGATGTTTCCTCAACTAACCAAATATTACATGATCTTGTCAAGTATGGATCTTTAACCTCTGCACGCCACTTGTTTGATGAAATGCCTAAACGTGATGTTGTTACATGGAATATCATGATTTCTGGATATAGTCATAATGGGTTTCCAAGAAAATCATTGCACTTATATAATAAAATGGTTTCTAATGGTATTATAGAGAATTCATCCACTTTCTCCTCTATATTGACCATATCTGCTAATGCAGGTTTGTTCAAACAAGGGGTTGAGATTCATAGCAGAGTTGTTGTTTTGGGATGTAGTATGAACTTATATGTTGCTAGTTCACTTGTTAATATGTATATAAAAATGGGGTTTATAGATTTTGCTTTTAAATTGTTTTATGACTTACCTAAACGAAATTTACCGATATGGAACTTGGTTTTACGCGGAATTTGTGAATTGGGTCGGTTGAGTGAGTTCTTAAGATTGTATAGTGATATGAAGATGGAGAATGTCGAGCCTAATGGGGTTACGTTTTGTTATTTGATTCATGGTTGTTGTAAAGAGAGACTTGTTGATAAGGGCAGGCAGCTGCATTCCCATGTGATTAAGAATGGATGGTTAGAATCAAATATTTTTTTAGCTAATGTATTGGTGGATTTTTACTCTGCTTTTGGTATTTTGGTTGATGCCGATAAAGCATTTGAATGTATTCCACCTCAGGATGTCATTTCATGGAATTCAATGGTTTCCGTTTATGCTGCTAATGATTTGTTACATGAAGCTGTTCGAGTCTTTGAAGAGATGAGATTGTGGGACAAACATCCCTCTGCTATGTCGTTTGTGGCATTGTTAAATTTATCAAGTCGCGGAAAGGAACTGCTATTTGGAAAACAAATACATAATTTTGTTATAAAAGTGGGTATTGATTATGGAAGTGTCCTCATTCAGTCAGCTTTGATTGATATGTATGGGAAAAATGATGACATTCAAAGTTCAATTGATGTATTCCAGTGTTCACATGAGAGAAGTCTCGAATGTTGTAATTCAATGATGACATCTTTGCTGCATCTTGGTTTCCTACAAGATGTGTTTGAGCTTTTTAGTTGGATGGTTTGTGAAAATATTGTGTTTGATGAAGTGAGTTTGTCCTCAACAATTAAGGCATTTTCATTGTGTTCCTCTCCTAGCTTGGATAACTGTTGCTTGTTGCATTGTTGTGCAATAAAATCAGGTTTTGATTCTGATAGTATTGTCTTATGTTCTCTAATTGATGCATATTCAAGATCTGGACAGATTAGATTCTCTCAACAGATTTTTGAAGCACTTCCCTCACCTAATATTTTCGGTTTCACTTCAATAATTAATGCATATGCTCAGAAAGGAATGGGATATGAATGCCTTGCAGTGTTTGAAGAAATGATCCAAAGGGGTCTAAAACCAGATAAAGTAACATTCTTGTGTATACTGTTGGGATGCAGCCATTCAGGTCTAGTCGAAGAGGGGAAAATGATTTTTGATTCTATGAGAACTATTCATGATGTCTATCCAGACAGGAGGCATTATTCATGTATGGTGGATCTTCTAGGCCGTGCAGGTCTAGTCAATGAGGCAGAAGAGCTGCTAATGCATGCTTCATCGGAAGGAGATTCTGTCATGTGGAGCTCAATTTTGCGAAGTTGCAGGATTCATCAAAATGAGCATGTTGGAAGAAGAGCAGCTAAAAGGTTAATTGATCTTGAGCCAGAGGATCCTTCTTTTTGGTTACAGGCCTCAAATTTTTATTCTGAAATTGGAGAATTCGAAACTGCCGTATACATTCGAGAGGTTGCAGTGGCGAGGAAGATGAGCAGAGATATTGGCTATAGTTTAATTCGGGTGCATGAGTTCCATTAAATATACACTTGATAAAAAAGAGGGTAAAAAGGATATCATGGCTGTTTGGTCTGCAGGACATGCTGGATATACTTTTTCTTTAAAAAATATATCTACCAGAATGGAGAGACTTTGTCTGACTCTATACTTTTGAAGCAAGGACACTGTGCTGCTTATTAACCGACTCCAATACCAAAATACAATACAAGTTTCAGAAGAAATTTATATGCATTGTTTGGTCTCTGCAATTACCAAGTAACTTTTTCTAGTGCCCTTTATCTTTTTCAAGATTTTCACATTTATTGATGAAGTAAAACTACTGTAGAGGTAATTTGACTGTCTAAAAGGGGAACCTTTGAAGATTGGTGCTGTAATATTTATTGTTGTATGGGTGAGAAAGAATCTACAGGAGCATTTTACTTATGAATAGTATGTTGAACCATGGCTGAGGAGTAAAGCAACGATCTCTAAAATGATATTCTTACACTTAAAGTGTGGGCTTGTAGAAAATGAAACACCTTTATCTACTTTCAAGCCAAGCCATATAACCCCACTAAATCATCCATTTTCAGCACTAATACATCCATATAAATTAATACTCTATGGCCTCCTTTGATTTATGTAAAATCTAGAAATACAGAACGAATATCAGAACCCCCTAAATCATGGCTAAGATACTCTTCTTCTTGTTTCTTGTTTGGCTAATGGGTGCTCTTGGAGCTGCAAAAACCAACTTTTTAGATGATGTCATCCTGTCAGAGCTTGATGATTTGGATGTAGAAGATGGTGATGAAGCAGAGTTGTTTGACCTCCCCAGATTGGGAATTGAACGCGGCAACAAGATTCTTGTCAATGTAGATAGCTTTGGTGCAGTTGGTGATGGCGCTTCAGATGACACCAAGGTAATTCATTTTAAAACTGGAATATTCGCCACAAAGATTTGCTGATCGACTTCTACTTGTTTTTGATTACAGTAGATTAATGGATTGAAAAAGTGTTCGGCAACTAGAAATATGACCATCCTGTATTTACTCCATTCATAATCGTGGTTGTCTTTCATACTGATTGCTTACAGGACTCTAGTCTTTACTGATTAGTCTCCTCTTCTAGTGGGGTGGACAACATAGACTACCAATGCTATCTTTTTCTTGAGTTGTAGATTATCAGTGTTGTTGTTGTTGTATCTGTGCAATTTGCAAGTACCTTCTCCCACTTTGTCAATTGTACCATCTCAGGCTTTCGTTGATGCGTGGAAACAAGCTTGTTCAACACCAAAATCAGTCTTCTTTGTCCCTGCAGGACGCAATTATCTAGTAAATGCAACAAGGTTCCGAGGGCCTTGTGTGGGCATACTGAGAGTCCAGGTTACACTAATTGCATCTACTTCACGTCTTGTTTCAGTTTTTGTCCTCCATTTAGCATTTACTGTAGAAGAGACTTATGCATATTATACTTGGTTGAAATTGTTATTGTTTCCCTTATAGCATCTATTAAGCCAGCTCAAGCGTACCTTACTATTGTCATAAACTGGAAATGTGATTACACACAGATTGAAGGAACTATAGTAGCACCGGATGATCCTAAGAACTGGAATTTTGCAAAGAATGGACGAATTTGGCTTGGCTTCTTTAACTTGACTGGAGCTCTGTTCCAAGGAGGAGGGGTCATTGATGGATCAGGCAGCAAATGGTGGGCAGCTTCATGCAAGAAGAACAAGACTAATGTAACTGATGCATGCACTATGTATATGTTCTTTTATGTTTTGACAGATAAAGATGACTGTCTTATTCTTTCTTGTTTTTTCTTGTTTTGGATTTTATCCCGATAACAGCCATGTGTAGCAGCACCGACTGTAAGTGGACTATCACGAGGATCTCATGTTTAACTCCTATCATAATTGTGAAATCAACTTACACAGAATTCAAAATTGCAGGCTTTAACTATCTATGGGAGCTCAGGTATAAAGGTGAAGGACCTAACAATCCAAAATGGCCAACAGATGAATTTCGCCATTTCTCGATCAGACTCTATACGCATAACTGGTGTTACAGTGTCTGCTCCTGAAGACAGTCCTAATACTGATGGAATCCATATAACTGAATCTACAAATGTTGTACTCCAGAATTCCAAAATTGGAACAGGTCTTGACATGTCCCATATTATCTACATTCAGATCTCCTTATTTGACTGATGTTGACGTCAAGAACAAAAGTTGCAATATTATGTGATCTTGTCTATGGGATAAGATAGACTGCAGAAAAGTATCTCTTTTGAAAATGACATTCTAGTGTGCAACTGTATTGCTTTCTTAAATGTGCCTCTCAATAAGGCACTTCATATCTACCACAAACCTTGGCTTGAGCTCTGTGCATCTCTCACTATACTATTGAAAAAGCTAACTGGCAAACACGTATGAGCCCTCCTTTCATGCTCTGTGTTTTCTCAAATAAACTGGCACATGCTATGTTTTAATGGACGTGTCTTTATTGATATCATGAATATGCTTTATGTTCAGAGAATAAATACTGGTTAGCTTCCTTTCTTATTTAGGTGATGATTGTGTCTCTATTGTCAATGCTAGTTCCAGTATCAAGATGAAGAGAATTTACTGTGGACCTGGCCACGGAATCAGGTAGTGCAATTTTCAGTTATCGTTGCCCTTTTAAATTACCTTTAGAAGTTCTGCAGAAGGGATCTAAGAGTCGATAAATAAATTCAAATGTCAAATTATGAAAGAATAAGCGAAAATATCATCCTCACGTTGTCTTCTAAACTGGTTCTGTTGCATGAATGATGCCTGCCAGCATTGGGAGCCTTGGTAAGGACAACTCTGTTGGTATAGTTACTGGGGTTGTACTTGATAATGCATTTCTCAGAGGTACCACAAACGGTCTGCGGATCAAGACATGGCAGGTATGCCGTTTTTAGCATTGTGTAGCACTTGAATTTGTCCCTATATATGGTATTACCCACATGATTGTTTGAAAATTAAGACTTCTTGGGTGATTTTACAACAGCTTTCCTTTTAATTAGCAAATAACTAGAGTCTCAGTGCACTTGACATGGAAAAGATCTATTTAACTATACAAAATTCTGAGCCCCGACGAGGAAAAGCATACCTAGTTATCAATGGCACCTAGATTCTGTCTGAAAATAAAGAACAAATTTCATTTTATCTTAGAAACAGAATGACAAAAAGTTCTTGTTTTCTTAGGGAGGATCAGGTTATGTGCGTGCAGTGCGCTTCCAGAATGTAAGGATGCAAAATGTTTCCAATCCTATCATCATTGACCAATTCTATTGTGACTCACCAAAGTCTTGCCAGAATCAGGTATTCTTCTCAATTGTCATGTTTTCAATTGATAATGTATTACTTCGCAAAGGAAATAAATAAGATTCTCTCCAATAGTTGGAAAAGTTAACGTGACACTTGTTCTTGACATCATAGACATCTGCAGTTGAGATAAGTGAGATAGTATACCGGAATGTTAGTGGTACTTCAAAGAGCCAAAAGGCAATCAAATTTGCATGTAGCGACAACGTGCCCTGCAGCCATATTATTCTGAACAACATCAACTTAGAGACCAGAGATGGTACTGCTGAGGTCTACTGCAACTCCGCCACAGGGATTGGTTATGGTTATATTCATCCATCAGCAGAGTGTCTCAACTCCTCTGACAAGAAAATTAAGCAGAAAATGGATGCTGGACTTGACGAACCAAGGGAAGAATACATCGTTCATACTGAGCTATGAATAGCCATCCACATGCCATCACTCAAACACATATTTTTAATATACATCTCGTAGTTTAGTTCTTACTTATTTGAGTAATCTCAGATTCTGAGATTCCTAACTAGGTAAGATAACAGATAAATACTGTTATACAGAGATTCATTAAAAATATTTATATAAGACATATTATATACATAATTTTCTTCCATGATAAGCTGAATGTAATACACAAATTTATTGAGAATTATGTTCAGTGTGTAAATATATTGAGAGGACCATTTTCTCATAGCTATGGACTATGGTGAGTACTCCCTCTCAAATATTCTAAACCTTTTAATTTTAATTAAACATACTAATGCACTTCTCAAAATTAATAAACAAAAAATCAGAAAATTTTATTTTCTTTATACGTTTGGATTCATCTCCAATTTCTTTTTTGAACATTGATCATGCCCTCAATCCAGGGCTCATGAGTATCGTAACTGTTGAAATATATACCATTAATCATATGCTTACATTTATTACTTATTAATATTATTAATTATGTGTTTAAATATAGTATTGTAATAGAATAACTGTTTATTCAATTTTAATAGAATTTTTTAATAGATTATATGTTCGTCTATGTGTCCACTTACTTATATGGTGAATGATTTGGTTTATAAAAGTTAGCTTATACACAAATGATTAAATCATCGGTTCTTATAAGTATAAAGTTTATGTTCATAAATTTAAAATGGAAATTGGACAATGCTCTCGGTATAATTGTATACGAGTTACATATATTTATCTTGATTATGAGAATGGTAATAATTTTGACTTCTTGTGTATGTATTAATCGGATCAAGTCAAGAGAGTATTTCATATGGACTTAATAAATAAAGGGAAAATTACGCGGTTAAGCAAACTTATACTACTTAATTACTCATCATAGCTATAGTTTGCTATAATTACCATTCACAACTAACATTATACATTAATTACGCGGGCTGACTTCAAGTTTGTATAATTAGTCATGTTTGTATATGTATAATTCGTCAGAATATACAAATACATATGTATAATATATAATTATCTAACCTATATACATATACAATTCACCTCTCTCCCACTCTCTGCCCTCTCTCGCTCGCCTCTCTCCTCTCTCTCCCAATCTCGCTCGCCTCTCTCCTCCCTCTCCCAATCTCACTTGCTATATATACAATTGCATATGTATAATATACAATTATCTAACATATATACATATACAATTCACCTCTCTCCCCCTCTCTGCCCTCTCTCTCTCGCCTCTCTCCTCCCTCTCCCAATCTCGCTCGCCTCTCTCCTCCCTTTCCCAATCTCTCTTGCCATATATACAATTATATATGTATAATATACAATTATCTAACCTATATACATATACAATTCACCTTTCTCCACTCTTTGCCCCCTCTCTCTCGCCTCTCTCCTCTCTCCTCTCTCTCCCAGTCTCGCTCGCCTCTCTCCTCCATATAACATGTAGCTACGAATTGTTATTATCAAATATAGCTATGGAGAGTAATTAGACTATTTTTGAGTGGCTATATGTGAAAGTTCCCCATAAATAAATTCTCTAGTTCATTAAATATAGTTATACTCTTAGGCTTAATATAATTATTATTAGCTATGTATATTGTTTATTATTTTGATTTATTAAAAAACAAGATTCTTTTGTGAGTAAATATGTCTAGTAAATTAAATGATAACAGTATATATTTTGGTAAAATAATAGTTAGCTAATGAAATCAATCTCTCAATCTGGAGATTGATGATACACCTTTATAAAGACTTGCAAGTTTTCATGTGTAAAAATCAGTAGGTAAATTTTATGTCCGACAAATAAAATAAGTTAAGCAAAAGTCTAAAGAAAATAGTCAAAATTAAATTATCAGTCATTTAATGGATTAGTATTTGAATCTTATGGAGAATTAAATGAGATTTAATGGAAGAATTTTGAAATTAAACTGAGGAGTTATATATTATGGTGGCTTGTAAACTTTAAAATATATGACCATTATTTTTATGTGGCACAAACTTGTTTTGAATGAAAATCATCCATTTACCTAATCTGAGCATCAAAATGGCCAGTTTAGGTAGATTTACACTTTGTTTTGAGGGTTGTTACGTATTGTTTCATAATATATCATATTGTGTTGTATTGTATTGTATCGTACTATATTGTTTTAATGAATACAATGTTCATATAGATTGTATCGTTCTTCTTCGTTATATAATGTCACATATCCATAATTTAAATAATAAACCTACAAGAAAAACAAGGTACATGATAGAACTCTATACTATGAAAAGGTAGGATAAAAGATGAAATGTGATTATTAAATAATATATAAAGTCATAATGAAAAGAAAATATTAAGGTAACGATGCGATCACACCAAATCGTTCGTTACATAAAATAGGTCTTTTCGTCATTACCTAATGATGAATTTAAATGATATGATATAATAAAATTTAAGTAACAATCAAAACAAACATTTAATTTAAACTAACTAGGCCAAAAAGTGTCTTCAAGAAGAAGAGTACTCCATTTCATGTAAGTGTAAGCTATCATTATCATTCATGTGGGCTGTGGCAAACAGGAGGCGTAACCCAAGTTGCTATGACAAAATTAAATGATGATGCCTTTAGATTGCAGCAATCACCTATTTGGCTCTTGGTGCTGTATGGATGTGCCCTTGTATTAATTATTTCTTTTTTATGACATGTTAATTTAGCGAGTTTGTATGCACTCTAATTAATTTATCAGACAATTTGTTATAACTCATAAGTACAAAATAAAGAGAAATTGATATGTATATTAGGAGTGGTAGAATAGATAATTTATATGGGTAATCACTCATATTTTTTGAGTAAAGCACAAATAATACTCATATTATTTATTTAAAAGTGGGTAGTTAAATGGGTAAAGATGTTCATTCACAAAAGAAAGAAAAGTGATTGTTGGGGGGCGCCTGGTAGGGGGTGGGCTGGTAAAAAAACTTAAATTTTCTTAGGGAAAAAACTTAAATATGTCATTGAACTTTTAGAAAAGGCTCATATTTATGTCATCAATTAAAAATTTGGCTCATCTATGCCATTACTGTTTAAGAAAAGGCTCATTCATGCCATTTTTTAACTCCGATTTTGCAAAATCATTTTTTACACCCCAAACAACTTTTAACACTTTTTATAATTTTGGATCAAATGTACTCTTTTTGCTTCTTCTTCCTCAAATACACATGAAGAACATAAATAACTCCGAAATTTTCAAATCTTCAATTCTTCACGAAACCATCTTAAATTTCGGCTACATCTTTAGTTTTTTTAAAAAAAAATAAAATTCTAAAATCATTTGCAGTGTTTAAAAAATCATCGGTATTAAAAAAATTCCAAAAAATGAAAATCAGTCCCAAAAATTTGAAAATTTTCTTTGATTCATGTTTTGTAGGTTTTTTTGACATTAGATCTTTGTTCTCAAGTGTTTTTTGAGTGGATGTTCAAAATTTCAAATGATTTGAAGTTGTGGAGAAATTTCTATCATTAAAGAATGTTGAAGTTTTGAAACTTTGAAGAAATTTCAAGTGGGTCTTGTTGAGTTAGGTTGAATTCGACCTTAAAAGATATTGAATTTTGGTATCTAGATCGGAGGGAAACTACTCTTCGAAATTTGAGGTGATTTTGTGAAAAATTAAAGAAGTTCAAAATTTGGGAATTGTTAATGTTCTTTTAAGTGTTTTTGGTGTTCTTAAGGAAGAAGAAGCAAAAAGACTACATTTGATCCAAAAACTCTAATTGAAAAATGTTAAAAGTTGTTTTGGGTATAAAAAATGGTTTTGCAAAACTGGAGTTAAAAAAAAAGGCATGAATGAGTCTTTTCTTTAACAATAATGACATAGATGAACCAAACTTTTAACAGATAACATAAATGAGTCTTTTCTAAAAGTTCGATGACATATTTGAGGCTTTTCCCTAAACAACATTGAAGTTTTATTTCAAAGGGTGAAGGATAGTTATAGGGCTTATAAGTAGAGGTAAAACAACGTATTATAAGAATTAGAAGTATAGGAAAAAACCTGAATGCCCTTAAAATAACTGTCAGATGAATCCTACGATGTGACCTATGGTTCGTAAGAATTTCTACGGACAGTACTGATCAACCGTAGACCAAGTATTGGAGCCTTAAACTTCATCTAACTTTGGCGAGACCTTTCTACGGCCTGTAGGGCTTCCTACGGTCCATAGACCCAAATCGTAGAATTCAACTTTCACTTTAAACTTTCACCAAGTCTGGAACACTTCTACGAGACATTTCTACGGTCAATCAAAACTCTACAGTTTGTCCTGTTCATCCGTAGGTCACCTTCAGAAACTTAATTTTTCAAATACTCATCTCCAGGTCTACGACTCCCTTCCTACGACCCGTAGGAATTCCTACAATCCGTAGGTTAGACTCGTAGAGCCTGCTTTAGCCAATTTTCTGCATTTTTTCCTTAGTTTGATTTTCCAACTTTCGAGGTGTTACAACTACGTACGTCAATTGATGCAATCCAGATTGCCTCCAAGCCATCCATTTACGAACATCAATGTATTGATGGATCGTTCACAAGGATGGAGGCTCGTGGGATTGAGATGGTACCAAGGAGGCGGTTCCAGGCATTGCTTGGTAACATACGCACTTTGAAGGAGCTCCCAGTTGAGCAACACCATGCTTGGATGATAGCTTAGAGCGTGGGAGGTCTAACGAAGCAAGAAGGAGCAAGTGGAGGCGTTGCTCCATTCGGCGAGATGTCAGCCACTTCGGTGACTCGCCAAACCCCTTTGGCGAGGGTTCCAAGATCCCCAACTGGCCCAAGGAGCTACAGAAGGAAGCTGCTCATTTGGTGAGATGAGGGAACTTTGGCGCATCGCCAAGTGGATTGGGCGATGGTCCCAGACTGCCCAAAGTTCCAGTAGCTCCCAGCCAAGGCAAGGAGCAGGATTCCTCGTCGAACCCATTGGGCGGATCACTGAGTTATTAGGCGAGCCCGACTTGGCTCGCCCATTGGCCATTTCGGGTCACTTTTGGGCCCATCTATTTAATAATGTCCTAAAACTATAAATAGGCATTTTAGGGTTCATTTTAATGAGACTGATTTGAATATTGTGGTTGTAAACCTGAAACTCATGTTTGAGTGTTTGAAAGCTTGGTATAAACTTTTGTTTAACCCTGCTTAGAAACGTTGGTTGCTTGAGATATCGATTCCTTCGAGGTCGTCGTAAGAGTTAGGTGCTTCTTGATGGATTAATGAATTGAGGTCTTTGGGTTTACTATACCCTTA